TTGGATCAAAAATTGGCTAGCTAGCATCTCCAGGTGTTACAGCAGGTATAAGCACATCACATGTGTTTTTGAAACAGCCCAGTGGTAAGTTACCCAGCGTGGGCCCCACTCGTGGACTGGCAGCTCTGTCCATGGGAGAAGGGACTCAGGCAAAGGCTTGGCTCTTGGTGTAGGAACAGTTGAACAGGAGCTCACTGTGCTGCATTTGCAAAGGCTGATTTGATCCTCAGGTGTGTGAATGGGGAATGCAGAGCAGGTGTGATTATATTGCATCTGTTAATTCCGTGGTTGTGACTGTTGGTGTGAAACAATTTGACATCTACAACTAAGGGAGGAAATTAAGAAATTGGTGAGGCTTCTGCAGGTTGGAAGACATCTGGGGGAGGCTAATATTATCAAAGCCTAATATACCTATGTGAGGATTGAATTTTTGCTTCTCTAATAGCTACCCCTGTTAACAATTGCACAAGAATAGGGCCTAGACACAAGATACATGTTTTATAACAGTAAAAGTAGTTAAATACTTGAACTTGTGATGCCATCAGCTTCCCTATCACCGGCAATTTTTGAATCAGGATGGGGTGTTTAACAAAACAGCCACAGTGAGACAGTCCTTTATCAGGTAACCCTGAGGAAAGCAGACCAGTCTGAAACAGACACCACTGTCAGATGGTGGCAGACTGCAATGTCTTTGCTACAAACACCCCTATAATTATAGTCCATAGCTATATCACTTTTTGTTATTATTCGTCAGTTAGAGGCTCAGAAGATACCCCTGCTTCTAGGTCCAGCAAGCATGCAGGACCTTTTTTCTATGTTGTCTGTGTCTTGGCTAGCTCTTTCAAGATGGCATCTGGTGGCTGTTTTTGTCTTTGGATAATGGAGCACTGGCACAAATTGCCCAGAGAGGCTGTGGAGGCTCCTCCTTGGAGATCTCCAAAAGCTGCCTGGATGTGGCCCTAGGCACCCTGCTCCAGGAGTCCCTGATGAGCAGGGCTTACAGCAGACGGATCTGGAGGTGCTTGCCAACATCAGCCAATATTCTGATTCAGTGAAAGCTCTGAAGGAGGTGAGCATAGGTGAGGACCTGGTGCCAGTCTCCTGTGAGTGGGTTCAGTGTCACCTCTCAACGTGGGGGAGCAAACACAGGGAAGCAAGGGCAGAGATGTGGCTACGCTGGCAGCCAGCAAGAAGTGCCCTCCATTTCTTCTCCCTCCTCTACAGAACAGCAGAGGGTGTTGCAGCCCAGACTGAACACCCAGGTCTCTTTCTCCCACTGGCCACGGCTCCCCAGCCTCCAGCCCAGCTGCCGGCAGGTGTGGGAGGCCAGCAGCCTGCAAGCTGCCTTTAGGCCTCCTCGCAGCCTCGCTGGGTCACGGCGTGTCGGGCAGCGTGTACCTTCACTTTCCTGGAAAGCAACTTCTCGTCGATACTGAGAAGAGCCTTGTTCTTGGAGGGGGAGGGGGGCCCGGCCACTGCTTTGCGCAAAGGGGCCACTACTTGTGCTAATTTTTCTTGTGGGGCTGAACTAATGCAGCCTGCACTCACTCTAAACCACAGCAAGGTGTTTTTGTTTTTTGGTTTTTTTTTCTTTTTTCTTTTCATTTTTTTTCTGAGGGGAAGGGAAAGGGAAGCAAGGGGCTGGGAGATTTTTTTTTGTGTTGATTTTGTCCTCCCAGCTTTCTCTTTCTGTGCTGGTTTTTGTTTGTTTGTTTCTTTGTTTTTTGCTCTTCTTCTTAATGCTTTGCTGTTTGCATCTACCAAAAGGAGGTCTTTAGAAAGGACCACCTAGAAAGGTGAAGTGAGAAGGCTATTTGCAGTAAAAGGCTGTACAATTTGTGCTCTGCCTGCAGGCTGGACACACAACATATCAGGAGGTCATGGCAACCATTGCCTACCTATGCCCCAAGCATCATTTGCCCTCCTCTCTATACATTTTGTGCACTGTGTCGTCACTTATGCTGTGTGGTCCTTGCCTGCCACATCCTTGCTTCTCTCCATTGCCATTCTTCCAGGTGGCAGGAACTCCACATGCAGGCTCTGGGCCACTCTGATCAATCACCACCAGGGTAGGCTATGTGCAGAATAGTTCATCTCGCACCCATGTTCCACCTGCAAACCCAATTTGCACACCTTGGAGGACAGCAGCTTTGGGTCTGCCTGGAGGCCCTGTAAAGCACTGAGCCTCTAAATAGTCCCTAATGATCCAGAGACCATGTTTCAGTCCTATCTGAGCTTCCACACACAGGTTTGCTGGCAGAAGGGCAAAGCAGCACTAACACTTAGCATCATAGAACCATACAGGCTGGGAAAGACCTCTAAGATCATCTAGTCTAACTGCTCATCCAGCCACCAGTATTGCCTGCTAAACCATGTCCCTAAGTACTACATCTACCCTTGAACACCTTCAGGGATGGTGACTCCATCACCTCCACAGGCAGCCTGTTGCAATTCATTGCCACTCTTTCAGAGAATAAATTTTTCCTAATACCCAACTTGAACCTCCCCTGGTGCAACTTGACACCATTCCCTCTTGTCCTATCATTGTTACCTTGGAGAAGAGGCCGACCTCCCCTTTGATACCACCTCCTTTCAGGTCACTGTAGAGAGCAATAAGGTCTCCCCTGAGTTCCCTCTTCTTCAGACCAAACAACCTCAGTTCCCTCAGCCGCTCCCCATCAGACTTGAGCTCCAGACCCCTCACAGCTCTGTTGCCCTTCTCTGAACACACTCCAGGGCCTCCATGTCTTTCTTGTAGTGAAAGGCTCAGAACTGAACACAGCACTTGAGTTGCAATCTCACCAGTGTCGAGTACAGAAGGACAATCACTTCCCTCCTCTGCTGGCTGCAGTATTTCTGATACAAGCCAGGATGCCATTGGCCTTCTTGGTCACCTGGGCACACTGCTGGCCCATGTTCAGCCAAGCATCAACTAATATCTCCAGGTCCATTTCCTCTGCACAGTCTTCCAGCCACTCTGCCCCAAGCCTGTAGCATTGCCTGGGGTTGTTGTGACCAAAATGCAGAACCCAGTACTTGGTCCTGTCGAACTTCATCCCATTGTCCTCAGCCCAGTGATCCAGCCTGTCCAGGTTCCTCTATAGGGCCTTCCTACCTCCAGGCAGGTTGACACTTCCCCGCAGCTTGGTGTCATCTACAAACTCACTGAGGGTGCACTCAATTCCCTCATCCAGGTCATCAATAAAGATACTGAACAGGATGGCCCCCAAGTCTCATCCCTAGGGAACAGCACTTTTGAATAGTCGCCAGCTGGATTTAACTTCATTTACCAGTGATCTCTGGGCCCAGCCATTCAGCCAGTACTTTAACCAGTAGAGTGTACCAGCCCAGGCCATGGGCTGCAGCTTCCCCAGGAGAATGCTGTGAGTGACAGTGTCAAAGGCTATGCTGAAGTCTAGATAGACTACATCAACGGCTTTTCCCTCATCTACCAGGTGGGTCACCCAATCATAGAAAGAGATAAGGTTGGTCAGGCAGGACCTGCCTTTCATGAACCCATCCTGGCTGGGCCTGATCCCCCAGTTGTCCTGCACCTGCTGTGTCATCACACACAAGATCTATCTGTTCCATAACCTTCCATGGCACTGAGGTTAGGTTGACAGGTCTGCAGTTCTCCAGATCTTCCTTACGACCCTTCTTCTAGATGAGAGTCATACTGTCAAGTCTCCAGCCGTCTGCGACCTCTCCAACCACCACCTTCCCACCCCAGCACACTCCCTGCCCTCTATGTTCTTCTCATGTTGATTTTCTCACCTCTCTTCCTCTCTTCTCCAGATTTTCAGTACTTCATTCTCCCCACCTCGGTCCTTTTTCTCACCACCTTACTGTTCCCTTCCTGCAGGGCAAGACATGCTGTCACTTTCCCAAAAAACTATCCTCATTTGCTACCTCCTTTGGGTCAGCAGACACAAAGCTACTTTAGCATCCCTGTCCTTGTGAGTCAAGTCTGAGCTTTGGAAAACTGTGGTCAGTGGTGCCCCGGCGCCACGTCTCACCAGCTTTTATTGCTGGAGAGGATTGCTGCAACACACTGCGGCTGTAACCACTGCAAGGTCACCGTTCCAAGTGGATGAGGGAGGAAAGGGCAAGACCCACGGGTATGTTGTTACTTTCTAAAGCAAAGGCAGAGAGGAAGAATAAAAAGAAGAATTAGAGCAGTCCACTTACTGTTAAGGCAAGGTGGCTGGTATAGCCTATGAAGTCACCCAATAAATGCTATAAATACACACAGAGGGAAACTGGCTCCCTACTAGGCAACTGTTAAGCAAACCACAGGATATTTTTGAAGCCGCCATCCAAAAATACAAAGAAAAGTGTGACAAGCCTCCTCGTAAACCAAAAATGGAACGGATGAGCATTTTGGTTCTGCCGTGATTTAGGGCTCCAGCGGGCAGGTCCTCCCTGAAAAAGAATTACCGCTTTGCGCCGGCTCTTCTGGAAGCTCAGAAATTCTTCTGTGGTCAGCAGCATCTTCATGCTTGGTTGAAAGGAAAAACAAGGACTGATGTCTCAATACTTAGCGGAACTTCTGGCAAGGCTGCAGGTTGGATTCCGTGTGCTTCTGACTGCTTCATGATCCCCAGCAATGCAAAGCAGCTGTAAAACTCTTGCAGTCAGCTGCATAAACCAGAGTTACAGCTGCTTTGCATCACCGGACTGGTGCAAAACAACCATAGCACGTCTACATTCTGCATTTGTGCATGGCTTTTGCAACACAGCAGTCCACCTGGCGTGCATGGAACAGCCACGGTCGGACTAGGCTGCCCAGAGAAGCTGTGGTGCCCCATCCCTGGAGGTTCAAGGCCAGGTTGGATGGGGCCCTGGGCAGCCTGAGGAGCCCTGTTCACAGCATGGGATGGGACTGGGTGGGCTTTGAGATCCCTTCCTACCCAACCGTTCTGTGATTCTACAACCCGGACCTGGCTGCAGTGTATCAATGAATCACAGCTCCAGTGGTGCAAGCACTGCCTAAATACAAGCTGGGCCTTTGGCAGTTGTGGGGTTTGTACAGAATTGTGGAGATTGTCTTTTCTCCTGCTCTTTTTCACCAGCAATATGAACACACTACGCACAATGTGCCGTATCTTTTTATCTCCTGAATTTTTTTGCGAGCTTTCCCGTTTTTCCGAAGTTTCCGATCGTTTCATCCGGCACACCGAGACAACAGCGCACATCTTAAGGCGCCTGAAAGTCCGGAGGGCTCCGCGCAGCCCCAGCCCCCTCGCAGCCCGGGGGCGGTGCAAGCAGGGCCGGGGCGGCCGCCGTGCCCCGTGCCGCCGGGGGGGCCCGGCCCGTGGTCTTTGGGGGGCGGATGCTGAGGAGCTGAGCCCGCAGCGGAGGGGCGTTCTGAACCGCTTTTCTTTTTCTTTCTTTCTTTTGCCTCTCTTTTCCCAATCTGGCCAACTTTTCTAACTTTTTTTTTTTTTTTCTTCTGCACTCTTTTTTCTTTTCCCCATCGGAGAAGCCACGCCGTGGAAAGACGGGGTGGCGGTGGAGGAGGGAGAAACCCCTCCCCTTCCCCTCCCCCGTGGCTCCTTCCTCGGAAAAGCCACACTTGGGGGGTTTCCTCTCTTCCCTCCCCCCTCCCCGCCGCTCCCAGCGGCCGAGCAGCGCCCGCCGGGCACCTCCCGGCCCGGTAAGGCGCGCCTCGGCCTCGGGCCGGCGTTGAGGGTGAGGGCGGGGGGATGCACGGCGCGGGGCCGCCTCGGTTTCGCTTCGGGGCGGGAGAGCGGCGGGGGAGGGCCGGGCAGCGCGGCTGTCGCCCCGGCGCCGAGCGCTCGCTCGCACCGGCGGCAGCGCGACCCTTCGCCGGGAGATGCGGAGAGTAAGCGGGGCTCGGGGGAGGGGAAGAGACGGGGCTTTTTGCTTCTGGCTCGAAGAAGCCCGGAGGCAGCCGGGGCCGGGAGAGGGGCGTGCGGTCCGACGGAGAGCGGGACGAGCGGCTCTCCGCGCTTCTTCGCCTGCCGCAGCGCCGCGTTCCGCGCAGGGCTCGGCTATGCGGGGTCGGGCGGACGGCCCCGCACCTGCGCTCCTCCGCACACGCCGCCGGTGCTGCCCCGCTCGGCGCTCCCGCAGGGTCTGCTCTTCGCCTCGTCCCAGCTGTGGTGCCCTTTTGGAGAGGTTTTGTGCAAGCTCAGCCTGTGCTCCACTTAGGACTTCTCCCTCCCCCCGCTTCGTTTTTTTTTCTAAATTTATTTTTATTTTTTATTTATTTAATTTAAGCTTGGAAACGGGATCTGAACGAACCCTGAAGGTAACTGAGAGGAACTCGAGAATGTTAAGTTTGTGTCTGTAGCTTTTTTTTTTTTTTTTGTCCTTTGGTATGAGGGAAGGATGGGGATGAGGCTCGACCATTGCTTTGGGAAGTTTGGGGTAAAGAGTACATCTGCAGGCTGTGCTCTACCTGTAACTCTCCAGGTCGGGGCTGTGTGGTCCCGACAGCAGAGTTTGCACTCTGAGAATGTCAGTGCAAAACCCAGCCACATGCTGACCGTGCTTAATTCTGCAAAACGGGGTGGGATGAGAAGCAGCTGCAGCTTCCTGATGCTTCGTTTGGTGGTGACCGGGCGGGCCCTCGTGGGGCCGTGCAGCCCTGTTTCATTCTCCACGCAGCCATCGCACAGCCCGTGGAGTTTCAGCAGACTGCAGCCATGTGCTTGAGATGATGCTCGTGCCCAGGCTGCACTGAGCCACAGGTAACTGCCAATGGGTGTAAGGGATCACAGGGGCACTGTGGGCTGGTGCAGCCCCCCCGGCCTCTGTTTGGAGAGGGCTGAGTTAGTTTTCAGATGACAGCTTTGAATAGCAGCTGGTGCCTCTGTCTGTAATCCAGTTGGAATGCCTCTGGAGCTGGTGGGCAGTCTGTGCAATGGTAGATTCCTCACTGCTGTCACTAATGCTGTGGTTGTGTTGCTGAAAAACAAACAGGAGAGGTTTCTTCCCTGGCTTCTCCTTCTCTCTGTCCCTGCTGGAGTTTCATTCTTCTTTCTTCGATTCAGCAAGGTGCTCCAATAGGGCATCCATTGGCCTCAAACGGAGGCTGATTGGAATGGAGCTGGCCATGCCTCAAAGCCCGTGGTGTGGTTCAGTGGGAGTTTGGGTGGTCATAGGGGGTGGTGGGTTTTGTAAAGGAGATGTTAGGTGTGTGTGATGATGGAGGCATGGTGTGTTTGTTGCAAAGAAGGCAACTAATTGTTACTTTAATTACATCCCTGCTGGTGTGTACTGAGAAGCAGGAACTGAAGACAGGCGTAATACCAGCTTACCCCCTGACACTGTCTGGCCTTCTGTTTGGCATCCATGCATGCCCTCCATCCCCATTGAGGCACTCATCAGCTGAACGTTTTGCTGGCCTTGGCCTCAGTGCCTTTACCCAAGCAGGTCAGTGGTGCTTGGGGCAGCAGGACTCAGTGGCTTTGCATTAGGGAATGAGCAGTCAGAATGAGCCAGGTGAAGTTCATTTCCCCTCTAACCAAGTGCAAGATTTCATGTTAAGATGGAGAAGCGAGGTGTTGAATGCCCTATATTTTAGCCCCTGGGAATCTCAGGCTGGGCTCAGCAGTTAGTAATAGTACAGCAATATCGACTCAGCTTTAGTAAAAAGGCTAAATGCTGGTTTCCGTGTTGTCTTTGGAGCCCTTAGAGCTGCCCCTTATTTTCGTCCTCTTCAGTGGAGAAATGAAAAGGCCTGTGTGCACTTCACAGGAAATGAATGTCTGATACACGCTCGCAGGCTGCTCATTTCCAAGAACCGCTCTCAAGGTATTTTGATAATGCACATTCTCTCTGCCTTCTCCCTTCCTGCTCCCCTTGTGCTCTCTGTGCTGCTGTGTTCACAGATGTGTGTGAGCCCAAGGTGGGCTGTGCTGGTAGTGGGGCTGTGGGAGCTCGGCGTTGGCCCTTGCCTGAGAGGTCACAGGCAAAGCCACACGGAGCTGGCAGCGCTCAGCTGCCTTTGTCTGAGCACCCCCTGCAAATGCTGAAGGAAAGCGTTGATTTGGGTAACAGTCCTTGTGGCTCTGCAGCTCAGCAACGGTGTGTGTCTGCTTCCTTACTTCCTTGGGAGCAAACTTGGGCTAAGGGAGGTCTGTGCCTTTGGCTGGGCTCCCTTTAGCTGTGTGTAAAGGTGGAGCAGTTTTTAAAGGCAATGCTTAATATGAATGTTAAAACAAGCCCTTTGCTGCTGGATTCCTTTGCTGGAGCGTGGAGGGGTGGGTGCTTTACAGAGATGGAGCAGAGAAGTTTGAGAAAGAAGAGAAATGAGCGCTCTCAGATCAGCTCTCTCACTTTCCCCAGCAGCATTTTAACATGTGTGTGATTGGAGTTTTTCCCTTTTATGAGTTTTAAAATTACTTACTTTTCAATCTCGGTTACCTTTGAACTTCCTCTCTTCTTGTTTTATGAAAGAGCATAAAAAAAAGCAGCCTGATTATAGGGGTGTTCCTGCTGCACCCCCTGCATCTCTGCTCCATCTGAAAACTTGCAGCTGGCTTCCTACCACCTATCCTCAGGCCCATCCCCGTTGTCTCAATTCTGTCTTTGTATTTCAGGTGTGCCAGGTGGTGGCATTGCCATCACCTTCCCACCCTGAGTATGGTCCACTGCACCCCACTGACTTCTCACTGTTTCAATTTTCCACATCTCTTCTGATCACTTCCCGCAGCCCTGCAGGTAAAATAGCTTTAAGTACTGCACACAGAAGGAAGAAAGCCAAAACTCAGCTTGCTTGCTTAGCTCCTCAGCGGCTCCTTCACCCCCCTTGCTGGTGGCATCCTGGTGAGCTGAAGGATGGATTCCCCCAGAGGCTTTCTGATTTTGACAAACTGAAAACACCATTTGTTTTCGTTCTGTTTATCTTGGCTACCTGCTGTCCTGCTTTCATGACAGCCATCCTCATGGAAATTTGTTCCCCACTGACACTAATTCATATTCCTTTATATTTGGCTCCGCCAACGCTAGTGTTTCATCCTTGCAAGCTGTAGAGGTTCGGGCAGGCGCTGCCATTGCTGCATTTTTGTACAGTGCCTCTAACTGTGGCCACTGCTTGTAGGGTCATCATGCTCTGTTCCTTTAAGCTTTCTTAAATTGCTTCTAATGGCTCAAGTCTTTTCTTGCCCACTTCTGACTCTCAGGACTAGTTTCTTTATTTGTTGGAAATTTGCATTGCTGTGTGGCTCTGCTCTGTACCCCTCATTCCTGCTGCCAACAGCACAGGGATGGATTTGGGTCCTTCGCATCTGCTGGGGCCTGAGAGCAAAGAGAGCAACCCTCCCCTGCCCCCTCAAACCTGTGGTGCCGAGCCAGTTTTTCCTGTGGATGCTGTTCATTTCCAAGGGTTGGTGTCTTCCCTGACTTCCTTTCCTGTTGAATGTGATGGTTTTTGATGAGAGGCAGCTGGCATTGTGGGGATCACTGACAGCTGTCGTGTCTCAGCATTTACTCGTGTCTCTGACAGGGTGCTGGAACAGCCCAAACCAGTCAGTTCAGCCCAGCATGGTTGGAAGAAGCCTTCCCAACCAGTGTCCTGTTGGGCAGAGGTACGCAGCAGCATATCTATGTCCCTCAGCTTCAGAAGGACAGGCTGAACTACGGCTTTGAAGCTGGGTGCACTGATTTCCTGTTTCTAACAATTTTTATATTTGAATTCTCTTTTTGCCAGTGCTGTGGAGGGGGAAAGCCTCAGAGCCCAAACCCAGTCCCACATGGGTCAGCCGGTCGGGTGCAAGACAGGGTTATGGTTTGATGCGGGGCTGAGACTGCTGGGAAAAGGCTGTTTGGTTTGGAAGGAGTTGTTCTGAGTTCACAGAGTGTTTCAGAGGTGTGAGGAAGGGACCATGAAAGCCACGTTTCTTCCAGCTGTTTCAGTTAGGCGAGCAAAAGCAATTAGCTTTCCCTATGAACTGCCACCGTCATTATTTATTTTTTTGAGCAAGCATGCATGCAGGCTGTCCTGCCCTGGGGAATACTTGGAGTACATCGAACTATCCCATGGGTTTTCTCCTGTGTAAGAGCCTTTCAGCCCGTATCAGCAGAGCATCACATTGAAGCAGAAGGCATGTCATAGAAAAGTGCATAAGAAACACAAAAACAAAGCAACAAATCCATGGGGAGGTGGAATTATTTGTGGGTTTTGGCGTATGCTCTCCAACCCGAACGTTATCACTGGGGTTTGATAAGAGCAGTCCTTCTGGAAGATCTGTAGAAGGGTTTCCAAAGCTCTGCATGCACTCCATCTATACGTGGAAACAGGAAATGTCACAGCATGTGTAGTGCTGTGCTGGTTGTATAGGGAAACATGGTTTTGGTTTGGTGTGAGTTTGTGTGTGTCACATTCTTTTTATCTGCGTATTCCTTCGTGTCAGACACAGTGTCACTCTTGCACCAGGCTCTAATTTATGGCCATGGCATAAAAGATAGCAGGAGCTGCAGTTTCCCCATGGCCACACTGTGCGGGAGGAGCTGTGATTGACATTGGGATGGCCCGGGCACCCTTCTTGTACCAGTGGTTGTGGTGAGGATTGGCTGCATGCTTTCAGATGGGTTGCTCTAACTGTTGTGCCTTCTGTTGAGTGCAAGCTTGAGCTTGCTAATACAAATCCTAAAGCTTTTTCCTGTTGCCATCATCTCTTCACACTTGGTTTTTATGGGTTCTGCTTCCTAAAGATGATGACAGTGGTAAGGTCTTTGCATTTGTCCTTAGGACATCTGTGAGCTGTCTGGTAGTTAAACACATTGTGGCTTTGGTAGCAGCAATAATAATAATGTTTCTGTTGCTATCTGAAGTGCTGTATAAACCCTTCTACGGTCATACAGAGTAAGGAGGTTGAGGTGGAGCAACCATCTCCAGATTTGTTGCATTTCACACCCATATTACAGCCAACTAAAGGGCTCAGTCATCTGTTTGATGGGCATCTCTTTCTTTCCAAAGGATGGATGCACTCTCAGGGAAAGCTTTGCAAAAACTCATCATTGCTGCATCAAAGCTCCTGACTTGGGACCAATTGCAGGCCTGACATCTAGCAGCTCTTCCCTATGGACGGTAAATTTCAAGAGGTAAGTGAGCCCTTCAAGAAAGAAAAGTGTGGGAATGAGTCCTTTCCAAGTGCTTGAAGCCACCATTGAGCATGCCAGCTGTATCCAGCCCCAGGGCTGGCTTACACAGCAGCTGTACACAGCTTCCTGCTTCACCGTCTCCATACATGAAATGTGTGGCTTTGCCTGGATAGTGAGTCAGGAAGAAGGCAGAATGCCCTGTGTCAAGAGCACTTGTTTTGAAAAGCTCTTGAACTTGCAGCAGATTGGAAGGCCTGGGAAACTTGTCCAGCCTTTCAACCAGTGGGACACCGGTGTTTTGGAGATGTTGCTTTGGCTGTAAGTGCTGTTCTTATAGTATGGGGGCAGCAATGTTCTTGGGCTTTTGGGTGCTGTTTGGCAGTGGGGAAAGAAAACAAATCTTGGTATGGCAAATCAGATGAACCTTAAAAGTGATACTAATAAGTATTTGTAGTGGGCTAACAGTACCCTGCCAGCCAGTCATCTGTGGAGCTGGGACACTGAAGCTAAACAAACTCATGCTGTCTGAAGATATGACCCACGTGTAGACTTCAAACCAAGTCAGTGCGCTATGAGGGTGCTATTTTTGCACTTACTTTGAATTTGAAATGATGACACAGTCTCGGTTCTTAGTCAGCCAGACTTCTAGTAGCAGTGGATTTTTCTTAAAGGACTTGGGAGAGTGACTCAAGGTTGAAAAGTGGGACAAACAGTTGTTTTCCTGTTTTGTCAAACAGTGTCTACAGCCTTAAACAAGTCATACAATCACAGAATCGTTTGAGTTAGAAGGGAACTCTTAAAGGCTATCTGATCCAACTCCCTGCAGTGAACAGGGACACCTACAGTTACATCAGGGTGTTCCAGCCTCACTTATCATCTATTTATTTGTTGTTTTTATAGTTGTCTGAAAATGAAAGACATCTGCCTGCTTCCGTTTTCCTGTTGGGATTTATTGTCCTATCTAGACCTAAAGCTTTGATTTGTACCCAAGAGAAGTTGCCTTTTGGGAGGGGTGGCTGCTGGTGGGAGTGGGGCTCCTTCTTGGTCCCATCACAGCTGAAGCCTTTGAAGGCTCTTAGCAGGAGTGCTACCTTTTTCCCCCTTTTCTTAACTAATGTAAAATGCTCTATAGCTTTCTTAGCCATCGGAGAGGAAAAGGAAAGGGTCGGAGATGTTGCAGCTTCTTGTGGTGCCTGCAATGCTAAGACTTTGGTGGTGACAGATTGCCCTAATGGCTGCACGTGTTGCCTTGCTTGTGTACTGCTCGCCAAATCAGATTCCCCTAAGATTTATTCTGACTGGTTGAACCCTCTGAGAGCCTTTCAGCTGGCTTTTTTTTTTTGTTGTTTGTTTGTTTTTAATGGAAAAGAAAAAACCCAGCTTGATTAACACCTTCCTCCCCCTCCCACCTTTTTCAGGGTGGAATTTCCCTCCCACAGCAACACGTGGCTTGAGAGCAGGATCAGCGGTGTTCATAGCAGTGCCAGGGATGTTGTGGTCTGCAAATCACAGGGTAGAAAACAGAGTGCCACTGAAGAGGCTTCCCAGGCTTGGACAGGGCATATGGAGGCCAGACAGGGTGTATGGCCCTGCAATAGAGAGATGCCTGACAGTGGCATTATTGATACCACTGCTGAGTATTGCAAGAGGAATGAGGAGAGAAAAGATGACCCCAGGCAGCGTGCTGCTGGGCACCTCTGGGTCCCTGTGTTCCCTAGTGAGCCAGTGGCCACAGTGGGGCCCACTGGGGAAGGGGCATAGGCTGCTGGACCACAGCCTTGGGACTGCTCCGAGCATGGCTGTGCTGCCAGCGACTGTGACTGGGTTAATGGAGTGTGTCAAGGGACCGAGGGCAGGGCTTGGCGGTGAGCGACTGACTTGTCAGGCCTGGGGAAGTGGTATGTGACAGCTCCGCTTCTCACACAGAGCGAGCCTCTGGCTCGGGGCTGTGGTTTCTATGTTTATGTATATATATATACTTACACACACACAGAGAAAACGTATTTTTTTAATAATTGAAGTGACTTGGATGGATGGCTGATGGCAACACTGGGTACAGGGCTCTGTTTTCCAAAAGCAGACAGTCTGGTGTCAACATGAGGCCCAGGAGATGAGCGGGGTTGAGACAGCGAGGGAGGGCACCTGCCTGAATCATAGAATCATAGTCACAGAATGGTGTGGGCTGGAAGGAACCTCAAATCCTACCCGGCTCCAACCCCTCCTGTGGGCAGGGCTGTCACCCACCAGGTCTTGCTGCCCTGGGCCCCATCCAACTTGGACTTGAGTGCCTCCAGTGGTGGAGAAAAGGCAGCACGGGAGCTGAGGACGGTGGCTGGGAGAGGGCAGCAGCACCCGCAAACAGTAGGGAGATATCCCTGCAGCACAAGCAGAGTGGATGGTCCTGAGCAGAAATGCTCCTAGGGCATCATCAGAGTCTGGTGTCAGCACAGGTGCTCTCATTTGTGGCAGCTCTGAAGCTGATGGAGATGCATTTCATAGAATCATAGAATTATTAGGTTGGAAAGTCCAATAAAACCATTGAGTCCAACCACAAGCCCATGTCTGTGACTGCTCTAGACCACGTACCTCAGTGTGACATCTTTCCCTTTCTTGAACACCTCCAGAGACAGTGATTCAACCACATCCCTGGACAGCCTGTTCCAATTACTGCTTCTGAGAAGAAATTGTTCCTAATGTCCAACTGGAACCTCCCCTGGTGCAATTTGAGGCCATTCCATCTTGTCCTATCGCTGTTTCCCAGGAGAAGAGGCCAACCTCCCCTTTGCTACAACCTCCTTTCAGGTCACTTTGAAGAGTGAGGTCTCCCCTGAACCTCCTCTTCTCCAGACTGAGCAACCCCAATCCCCTCAGCTACTCCCCATCAGACTTGTGCTACAGACCCTTTACAGCTCCACTGCCATTCTCTGGAAATGCTCTGGGGCATCAGTGTCTTGTAGTGAGGGGCTCAAAACTGAACACAGCACTTGAGGTGTGGACCTGGATTTCTTGCAGATTGGATCTTGGAGCATCCTGATATAAGGGAATGGTTCCTGGGCTTTGGTAGGAAGGGCTTGTTCCGTCTGTTGTTGCTTATGGATCTTGCTGTCTGTTCTATCTGAGGGGTTACTGAATGCCAAAATGAAAGATACCCTCTTGCTTGGGGAATTCTTCTCAGTTGGGAACTCATTTCCTCTTGCCAGACTCAAGGCCACTCTGAAAAGCCCCTGGCCACCCAAAAGAGGGAAATCACAAAGTAATGAGATCTGCTAGATACAAGCCAGCCTAAAGGATGTGCTGAGAAGCCCCTAGATGTGAAATGTATGAACCCAATGGATGCAGTACTGTAACCTGGTCCCTTGCACTGGTGTGGCCCAGCTGGAGTCTCTCCTGCTTGTATTTGCTTGGTGTATCTACAGCTGTGAGTTGGTGGCACACCACGGCTTTCCTCCCTGTGAAATGTTCTCACTTGCTCAGTGTGAGGATGTAGGGGTTTGCCTCACTCTGCTTCTCTCCTGCAGGCTGGAGGTGACAGAGAGAGCATGGTAAATGCAGCGTCTCCCTGGGATCCATGGGCTCTTTGAGAGATGATCAGAGGGAGGCCAGATGATCTGCAAAACACACGCGCCACTGTTGCTTGTCTGCAAAGGCAGCATCGGAGCGTTCTCCCCAGCCCCGCACCGCCCGGCTTGCCTGATCGCTTCCGAATGTTTCGCAGTTGCGAGTGGGAGGTCCTGGAGCGATCCCTTAACATCCTCCAGGCCAGTGACTTCTACTGGGGCCCGCTGTCCGTCGGGGAGGCCCATGCCAAGCTGCAGCGGGAGCCCGTCGGCACCTACCTGGTGCGGGACAGCTCGCAGGGGAATTGCTTGTTCAGCCTGAGCGTGCGGATGCCGGCTGGGCCCGTCAGCCTGCGCATCTCTTTCCAAGAGGGCTATTTCCGTCTGAAGAACTGGTTTTCGGACTGCGTGGTCCGGCTGCTGGAGCTGGTGGTGGCGGGGACCCGCAACAATCCCTTGCACTTTGATGAGATGGGGGGAACTCCTCTGGTCTTTTCTGAGCCCTTGTGCCGGAGCCGCCGGACTGTGCCCACGCTGCGAGAACTGTGCCAGCGGCACCTGCCCGATCCCACTGCTGCCATGCGGACGTGCCCACGGGAGGCGGCGGTGTCACCCCTGGATGGGAGCGTGGTCCCCAACCCCTCTACAGCCAGCACTAGGAGATGATGCCGGGTGTGTGGAGGCGAAGGGATGCGCATGGCCACGCTGGAGGGGCAGGGCTGACTGCTCAGAGGGGCAAGGTGCCTGCACCCACTGGCTGCAAAAGCTGTGTCTTCAAACATGCACAATATGCCTGAGCTTCCCCCATATGGCTGGGGTGAAGCCAAGCCTGAAGAGCAGCTCTTCCCACCCCCAAGTCCTGCTCTTGGCTCCAGTCATGACTAATAAGCTTGAGAACAGGGCGAGCTGCCTGTCCTGCCAGGTCAGCCCCACTACCCAAAGTGCCTAAGCTAGTTTATGCTGCCAGTGTGCCTTCATGAAGCCGTTTGGCCCCACAGTGCTGCATCCCGAGTATCGGTGGGCATGGGCCACAAGCTAACTGGAGGCCACATGTTAACAGGAGACCACGTGGCTGTGCCTGAGCACAAATGCAAAACCTGCCCCTTCAGAGATCAGCACTTTTGGGGAAAAAACATTGCAGCCGTGTACAATACGTGCAGCTTGAGTGGCTTCTGCATTGCTTTATTTGAACAGGTTTTTGGGAGTGCAGATGAGTTACTTTATACTACGGGCATTGTGCTCCTTGGAGGCAGGTCTGAGGTCGGTTCTGCCCTGCAGGGTGTGAGCAGACCCAGTCCAGAGCCTCTTGTCCTCATCTGATAGTATGCTGCTGCCACCTATGGGCTCGAAAAAGGTGTTTTGTCTTGCCTCAAGAAGAGGCAAAGAATTTTTTATACAACTTCTAAATTTTAATAAACATGTTTTTATACTTATTTTTAAAAGCCAACAGATACACAGTGATGTTTTCTTTCCCTTGCATTGCTGGAAACCCCATTAATCTACTGCAGAGGCATGGTAATCAAACTGCACCTGAACAAGGGAATTTCTTTTGAAGAGCAGATGCAGTACATAAAGGAATGGTCCTAGCTGGTAGTTCACCTTGCAATGAAATAAGAATTTTATGAACATAAGATAATTCCTGAAAATGTAGGGGTAAAATTTTTAGAAGCATTTTTAGTGTCTTCAGACCTGAACTGAGTGTTTGAAGGAAACACTGGTGTTTTGAGATCCTAGAGCATGGCACAGCATCAGTGAGCTGTAACTGCAAGGAGTGTGTGGGACAGAGACGGATTTAATAGGATTAGGAAAAATCTTAGCATTGTTGATTCATTTTAGGGTTCAGGTGGGTTTGATATCCTTGAAAACACACAACTAAAAGCAGCTACGTGGAAGGAGTTCAGTGTGTTTGGATACTGTAAAAGAGAACACCTGAATGGGATCAGGAAGGAATTGGCTTCCACAAGCATGCTGTGTGAGCAGACTGCTGTGCTCACTCTGCCTTTCCCCTTCAGACCTGCACAGGGAAAAAATACCAAATGCAGAAAGATGTGACCCTGAATTTGCTCTCTTGGCTTTAGGTGTCTTATCTGAGGAACCACTATGTGCAGCCAGAGCAGAGAGAGATACGGTGCATTATTCATGGCAGGAGCTCTTTGGACGCTGAATTAATCTCAAGAGACTTCTGCCGTGCTGCTGGCAGTGAGGTCCTGCCCTCCTCTGCCTTGTGATCCAAGGCTGCTGAATTAGTGCTGTGGGGGGATCCATCCCCTTGCCAGCCTGAGGGAGGGATGGGGCAGTCTGGTGGCACTACAGCTGTGGGTGAGGGAGTGATTATCTCACTGTACTGGCTGCTCATTAGACCCCGTTTAGAATATTACATCTAGTTTGGGGCTCTCTGTTGCAACAAAAATATTGCAAATTGGAGTGAGCTCAGAGGTATGACCCCAAGATGCTCAGGGCTGCAGCACTGCCCTGTGAGAAGAGGCTGAGGGAGCTGGGTTTGTTCAGACTGGGGAGTAGATGGCTTTGGAGGACCTACGAGCAACTTGCCTATACCTGTGAGGGGGTCAGCAAGGAGTGATGCTCGCCACAGCATTGCCTGGTGGGAGAAGGAGACACAAGGATGGAAACAAGTCCAGGCTGGATAGGATGGGGGAATCCATTTGAGGGCAGGTTGCCCAGAGAAGCTGCACAGTCTGCATGCTTGGAAGTCTTCAAGACCCAACTAGATGCACTCTTGTTACCTCTGCCCACCCTGCCAGCCCCTTGGGTGGCTTTGGGCAATGCGCTGGCTTTCAGGGGAAGTCCTGGTGGGTCAGATTAGTGTGTTCCCCTCCCTCTGCCCACCCAGGGGTTGAAGCCATGTCTCCTGCCCTTCTCCTCACTCCTTTCATATTTGGGGCGTGTTAGCTGCCTTCCCTCCCTCCCTTCCTAAACTGGGGGTGGTGGGAAAGTGTTTGGCTCATTTCTTCACCATTTACAGCCGAGCACAGAAATGCTTCTGTTTTATGGCAGCAGTTATAACTCGCTGAGGGAAGAGCTTTCTGACTGGATCGCGCTGACCTGGTGATGAACTGCTCTCATTTGGCCTGAAATGAGCATCTTGGGCTGCGTGGCCGAGGGCTGCGGAACAGCCGCGTTTGTGGCCAGGGCTGTGCTTGAGGAAAATCACACCAAGGGAGGAAGATGTAGTCTGGGTTTTAATAAAATCTACTTTATTTTGTTCTTTTTTTTTTTTTTTTTTTTTTTAATTGCGCAGCAAGTACTTGTCTGTGTCTTACAAGTAAGTCAATTCCATGCAGGGCTGTAGCAAATTGATTTGAGATCTGAGGATGAAAAGCAGTGAATGACTGCCAAGTATTGTTACATTATGAAAGTTTAAAGCACATTATGATGCCTACCCTCATTATCCCAGAGGAGAGGGCACGTCTTGAATCAGGACTGGTGCGAGAAAAGAAACCAATTTGGGAAGAACAAGAATGTGAGAAATGCATCAGATGTGGCCAGCTTTACAGAGGGGGCCAGAAGCCCTTCTCCTTGTACTCTGGATGCAAAAAAAGGTACACAGAGTAAAATCAGAAGAGTTTACATCCGAGGAGTGACTGCTGGTGACATCCATGGGCTCCCAGCAGTGGGTGGGATATGTTGGCTGCAGCCACCCTGCCCCTGAGCCACACAGAGCAGCACATCGTGGCCCACATCCAAGCGCTGCGTTTGGTGGCTCCTAAAGGAGCTTATAAAGAAATTACAAACTTCCTCACAACCCCACAAGCACCGTTCAGGGACTAGAAGAAAATGGTTTGCATTTTTATACGCTATGTTACACATTTCTCCAGCTGACTCGTTTCAGTTTGCTGAGGAAGCTTACACAGCCCTGCAGATGGTTTCCTTCAACCATTCATCCTCACAGCCCGAATGGAGAGGTCTGGCCCCTTTGCCAGGTTGCCCGGGGCTGGATCAGTCCCAGTGGGAAGCTGCTCCTCATCTGCTGCCTGCCAGCACTGCTCTGGGGTCGCAAGGGTTAATTTCCCAAAATCCTCTGCTGAAACTTGTTAATGATTTCCATATGTACCCCTGTGTGCATGCAGGAGGGGCCCCACGGCCAGCAGCTCTTGTAATAACACTTGATTACCTCTGACATAAGGGTCTGTATTGCATTAGGGCTCTGCCTCAGAGCATCAAAATTCACCCAAACACATAAGTTTTGTGCAAACATGTTTAAAAAAATGCATTAACATTTCAGCATATTCACTGTCTGGAAATGAGCGCTCCTATGCAGGCAAGCTTCAGAACAAAACCTCCTGCATACCCACAGCAGTGCCTTGGTTAGGGCTCTTGCCCTGACATCCTGCATAAAATATGTAAGTCCATCATTATCATAGAATCATGGAATTAAAGTTTGAGCTGGAAGAGACCATTAAAGTCCATCTGGTCCAACCCCCCTGCAATGAACAGAATCACCCACAGCTCGATCAGGGTGCTCAGAGCTCCTCCAGCCTGGCCTTGGATGTCTCCAGGGACAGGGATCTACCAACTCTCTGGGTAGCCTTTGCCAGTGCCTTATCCCCTGATGGTAAAACACTTCTTCCAGTGTAAACCTCCCCTTGTTTAGTTTGAAACCATATCTCTGTGTCTTATCACAACAGACTCTGCTGAAGTGTCTTTTCCCTGGTCTCTTATAGCCCTCCTTTAGACACTGACCTTTAAACGTGCTAGAAGTCTCAATTTGCAAGGATACCTTGGTTAGGGGAATCTGACTATTTTGTCTGAGCTCATTTTGCAGCAATCCCTTAGACGTTTGGCATTTGCAAAGTGCTGTGCACGGCGGAGCTTTCTGCCATTGCCTGGCACAAAGGCAGGGCTGCAGAGGGCAGACAGCCATCAAAGGGAGAGCAGGTGTCAAAGGAGACCGGCAGCATCCCCAGCTGCCTCCATGCAGAGCTGCCAGGTCCCAGCGTGCTCTCTGCTCCTGTGATCTCAGCTGGGGCAGCAGCACTGCCATTTTGATGCAGGCAGAGCAGAGCACTTCCAACTGCCTCCCCGTAGTGGCTGGCTCTGTTGGCTTGGACTTCTGATCAGGGAGGTCTGAGCCAGAGGTCTGCAAAGCATAAGTGACATGGAGTAGGAGGCTGAATGTGTTTTCTTAAAAAAAAAACCAAAAACAAAAAAAACAAAAACAAGGAAGCAGCCAATCAGATACTCGAGTGTGAGTGTGAAACAAAAGGAGGTATTTGTTCACGTGATGTCTGATAGTGACAGGACAGGACAAGGGGGAATCACTTTAAACTGAAAGAGGGGAGGTTTAAGTTAGATACTGGGAGGCGAGTTTTTACACAGGCTGCCCAGAGAGCTGTGGGTGCCCCACCCCTGGAGATTCAAGGCCGGGTTGGATGGGGCCCTGGGCAGCCTGAGCTGTGGGGTGGCTGCCCTGCACACAGCACGGGGTGGGACTGGGTGGGCTTTGAGGTCTCTTCCAACCCCACCATTCTGTGAATCTGTGATTCTGTGATTCTCTGGGTAGGAAGGTCAGAAGCAGAGGACAACCTCAGACCCAAGTGACAGCTGGAACAGCTCTGCCCAGTGCACAGACTGGGTTAGAAAGGAGCTTCAAATATGTTGTGCAGTGAGGAAGAAGAAAATACCACACAGCAGTGGCAGCCTCTTAGATCTGCATCCCACTCTGAGCAAACAGTTAAAGGAAGATCGGTGTCGCTCCTGGGCAACTCCTCTGCATTGCCACTCTTGCTGGCAGAGTTGCAGACCTTCCAGCTGCTCCCAGATGCCACTGAAATCAGTGACCAGATTGCTGTTTGCCTCAGAAGATTTTGGATGAGACCCCCTCATTTTGTGAGGCTGGTGTGAGCAAACACGGGTTTTCTGCAGTAAACGTAATCACAACAAACCATGCTCCCACTGGCTTGTGCATCAAATCACGCTGGGGGAATTGCTGGCATTCGGCATGATTAGCCTAAGTGTAGATGCCTTCCAGCTCATAAACAATAGCCTCAAGGACTGGAAAGGATCACAAACAAAGCACTTACAGACAAGACAGTGTTTTCAGAAGTGACTTGAGAGCTTATGTCCATTGGGGGTTTGTCTTTTAAAAATAAACCAGAAGTAAACAAATTGAGAAAGACATCTGTGAAGAATCTAAGAGAATGAAAGCAAGGATGTGCTACTTCAAAATGGAAAAATGAAAGTGGGGAAAAGCTTCAGGCAAGGCTGGCAATTCCATTTAAGATGCTTAAGACAATGTGCCCACAGCCTTGAGAATGGTTAGGCTTTGGAAATGTCACCTGTCTGGGCAGATGTGGAGATACACGGAAGGTGGGAGGAAGGATATGGGCTGCATCCAACTTGCTTCCAGTTGGTCAGCAGGGAGAAGTCTTTGCTCCAGTTCACAGGAGGAAAAAATATCCCCTGGAAAGCACTAAAAGCAGAGAAATAGTGAGGCAACATGTATTTGTTAAGTTTTATGGGGACTCAATCTGCAAGGGGCATTCCCTGCGCTGTAAGTTAGTGACAAACAGCTGCAAATTTCAGGCAGAAAACAGTTCGTTTATGTAAACCATATTTTTTTGTATC